AAAAAAAAAAAAGATAAAAAAGAAAAAAAAAAAATCCAGGTTAGAAGCCAAATCTTACACACTCTTTCTTTGATACTATATTTTCTGCATCCCAACAGTTTACCACAATGACTTGAAGAAAAATATATTGAAATACCCTGTGTTGAGGTACATGATAAACGATCTACCATTCATCCACCATGTTCAATACTGAAATGGCCTAATAAATACAATATGGGCTAAGGTACAAAAACAAATATTTCTGTTTTAAAATGCATATGGAAAAAGTGACCCAAACAAACTATATTCAAGAGTGGGAGACATAACACCTATTTTTCCCATTACAAGTGACCCTATGTTTAACAGTCTCTTGCAAGCTGCTGAGCAAAACAGTAACATCTAATATTTTTCAGAGTCAGTATGGAACTAAAACAAGAGGTTGATACTATTTGTAATAGAAGAACAGAATAAAGAAACAGACAAGAGTTTCTAAGGCATTTTAAATAAAGAAACAGCTATTTAGTTTAAATTCAATTATTTTTGCATATTGGCTGACAGTAGTATATTCTGTTAGAGAGGTCAGAATGGTAATCCTAATTGGTTTAATACAGGGTACACACAGACTGGGACTCAAATTCTGGACAATTTCCAACTATATTTCATATTTCCCAAATATAAATATAAATTGGATGTTTTAACCTCGGGTATATGTGTCAATAAAGCACCAAATTTTCTTTATTTCCATTGCTAAATCTATAGAGAATAGTTTGTGTGTAACGTCATTCATTTCAAGGCAGACATGGAAGGAAAAAAGTAACACAGTTCAAAATTCAGTGAAATTAAAATTAAATTCTATCAAATAGCTATTTAGTGCTTACTATGTTCCAGGCCTATATTAAAATCTAAAAATATAAAGATGAGTAAGACTAGGTAAAGAGCTTACACTAAAGCATAAACAGAGGCAGAAGCTACACTTCAATGTGGAAGTGCACCAAAATAAGCATGGCTAACACATACTGAGTACTTCTTTGGGTCATACATTATGCCAGGCACTGTATATAATTTTTTAATTCTCACAACAATCATAAGCAATTAGCATAATTATATCAATTTTGCAAATAAGGAAACTAAGGCAAAACTGATTAAGTAACCTGCAAAAATACAACCGGTAAACAGCAGAGGCGGGATGTGACAGCAAAACCCTCACATTTTCCAAAGTAAGGAAGGAAGAAAAAGAAAGAGCTAACAGTGATGTGGTAACCTCAAAAGTGTATTTTAAATGATTCAAAAGGTGCCAACCATATGCCTTGGTTTTGTTCATTTGTCTGTCTGGAAGTGGGAAGCAATTTCCAGATAGAGTTGACAACAGAGAAAAAAGACTGTTACACAAATTTCAAGTAATCCAGAGTTCATGAAACACAGAGTGCATGACAGGGAGCAGACAGAAATTTTGAAACTCAGGCTGAGAGCAAACTATAATGGGCTATGATAAGGCATTTTAACTTTATCCCATGAGCAACAGAGAATCAATGGGAAATTTCAAGCAAGGTACTGATGTGTTCTAATCTGTTTTAGAAGGATAATTCTAATAGCAATGTGACACAGCAGGTGGTGAGTCAGAGGCAAGGGAACAATTACAACAGGGAGGCAACATATACAACAATCTAGGTAAAAATACAGCAAGGTCAGAGAGTAGAAGATAAATGTTCAAGACATTTGGAGAAAGAATTAGGAGAATTTGGTGACGGATGAGAGGGGGGAAAAACAGTATGAATAATGCCTCTGATTTCCGACTGAAATAACAGGATGGATTTTAATGCTGTTTGTTAAACAAATCACAGAAGTCAAGAGGCATACCAACTAACCTCAATGGGGTAAAGTGAGTAGATGAAAAGTAGGCACACAAACACCTGATATTAATGTCAGCTACAGGTGAGAACAACAAAGATCAAAGACTTGTAATTTTTTTCAACTAAAAAAAGATCATGCTTAGACAATCTATATACATGTACAGATTTTATTATTCTATTAAAAGTACCTCTAATGTCATTGTTTATTTTCCTTGGCCATTTAGTCCTTTACATAAAGAGATATAGGTTGATATTTAAGTATCCATGCATTTATATTTTTTAATGACCTTTATATTAAATGAAAAGCAGTTATCAAAAAATGGTAACTTAATGAGTGTCAGTTACAAATAATAATTAACAGTAATATCATATGTCATGTTGTATTCTATAAAACTAAAACTAGCAGGCTGAAAAAGTATCCTTTTCATTTTCTTATATGCTTACCACTAACAGCTGCATGCTGCTTCAGATACTCCCGCCTTACATTTATATTTTTCACCAAACATTGCCTAGCATGAGCTCTTCTCTCCTTTACAGGATCTTTTGCACAAAGTGCACAGATTGCCATATACTCAAGTGGAAGCCGTAAACGGGAAAGGCCTTTGTGAAGTTTCTGGGCAAACACTTGTCTTACTTGATAGCATTCATCCTGTAAAGACAGAATTATTCCAGAGATTATTCACATGGCAACAAACAGTAACTTCAGATATAAAATTTGCTATTTTATAAAGAAACGAGTAAATAGTATCAAGTTTATCTAAAATCATTGCTTCACTGCTCACAAGTGAGATGTTGTGACTCAAGTTCATTTCAAAGCTGCAATATTCATCTGGTACCAATCAGATGTGTTAAAAAACATCTGACAAAGGGCTGATATCCAGAATTTACAAAGAACTAAAACAGATCTACAAGAAAAAAACTAACAAGCCCATTCAAAAGTGGGTGAAGGATATGAATAGACACTTTACAAAAGAAAACATACATGAGGCCAACAAACATATGAAAAAATGCTCATCATCACTGGTCATTAGAGAAATGCAAATCAAAACTACACTGAGATACCATCTCACGCCAGTTAGAATGGCAGTCATTAAAAAATCTGGAGACAACAGATGCTGGAGAGGATGTGGAGAAATAGGAACACTTTTACACTGCTGGTGGGAGTGTAAATTAGTTCAACCATTGTGGAAGACAGTGTGACAATTCCTCAAGGACCTAGAAATAGAAATTCCATTTGATCCAGCAATCTCATTACAGGGTATATATCCAAAGGATTATAAATCGTTCTACTATAAGGACACATGCACACGAATGTTCACTGCACCACTGTTTACAATAGCAAAGACCTGGAAACAACCCAAATGCCCATCAATGACAGACTGGACAGTGAAAATGTGGCACATATAAACCATGGATTATTATGCAGCCATCAAAAACGATGAGTTCGTGTCCTTTGTAGGGACATGGATGAACCTGGATCATCATTCTCAGCAAACTGACACAAGAACAGAAAATCAAACACCGCATGTTCTCACTCATAGGCGGGTGTTGAACAATGAGAAAACATGGACACAGGGAGGAGAGCATCACACACTGGGGTCTGTTGGGGGGAAATGGGGAGGGACAGCGGGGTATGGGGTGTTGGGGAGAGATAGCATGGGGCGAAATGCCAGATATAGGTGAAGGGGAGGAAGGCAGCAAAACAGGCTGCCATGTGTGTACCTATGCAACAATCTCGCATGTTCTTCACATGTACCCCAAAACCTAAAATGTAATTTTTAAAAAAAGTGAAAAAAAAGAAAAAAGAAAAGGAAGAGAAAAAAAACCATGCTTTTAAAACAGAAAAAATACTGGTAAATATAAATCCGCCCTAACTTAAATAAAATACAAAAATCAAGGCTTAAACATCAACTCGTATATATCGTTTTCATTTAATGGGCAATATAAAACTGTCCAATTTTTATTAGTTCTATCGCTGATAAAAACTATTCACATGAAAATGTACAACTCTAGCTGGGCATGGTGGAATACACCTGTAGTCCCAACTATTTGGGAGGCTAAGGCAGACAAACCAAGATCCTATCTCTTAATAAAGAAATAAGAAGCACAACTCTGAAGGTAAGAATTACTAATCCATTTCAGAAACATCAAATTACTTCAACTTCTATAATTAAACCAGGCTGATTATTACCACCCATGTGCCTGCTTAACTCATACTACTCCCCTCTCCTAAATCACCCACCCTACTGTCCTAGCTAACTCCTACTTAACCAAAAAGACAGCTCACATACCTGCCAGAAAGCAGTGTGTAATTTGTATCCAGCATCCACCTCTGTGCTCTTAGAATTCTGTACTTATCTCCAGCATAGCGTTTTGTATAAAGTATTAAAATGATGGGTTTAAATGTCTGTCTTACCCATCAGTACTTGTTCCTTGAAGAAAAGAATTATGTCTTTATCTCTCTAAGCCTAACACAAAACCTGGCACACAGACGATCAGAACTTTTTCTGAACTACCGTAGTTCCCCTTTATCAGCAGAGGATACATTCCAAGACCCACAGTGGGTGCCTGAAACTGAGGACAGTACCAAATCCTATATATACTATGTGTTTTTCTATATATATATATATATACCTCTGATAAAGTTTAATTTATAAATTAGGCACAGCAAGAGATGAACAACAACAAATAATAAGATAGAACAAGTATAATAATATACTATAATAAATGTAATGTGAATGTGGTCTCCCTCATTCTTAAATACCTTACTGTGGAAAAGCAAAACTACAGATAGGGGAAACTACTGCATAGGGAAAAGTTAAAACTTTTGATTACACCTTACTTTCCACCAGTTAAAAAAGGTATGGTGTTTCTTACTGTTGTTAACAATTTCTTCATGTAGAATGATCATTTAGTTTATCTTCCCCAGAAATCTTAGTCATAACATTTTGCCCTTATCTTTAAATCCTTATTTTATACATCTTCTTTCATTGCATTTAAATTTTGGTTTATGAAAATATCAAACATCTACTTTAAAGTAGTAGTCTAAACTAAAGAGCTTCTGCACAGCAAAAGAAGCAAACCATCAACAGAGTAAACATACAAACTACAAAACGGGGAAAATTCTGGCAAACTATGCATTCAACAAAAGTCTAATATCCAGAATCGGTAAGAAAATTAAATAAGAAGCAAAAACCAAACAACTCCATTAAAAAGTGGGCAAAGGACACGAACAGACACTTTTCAAAAGAAGATACACATAAAACTGACAAGCATATGAAAAAATGTTCAACATTGCTAATCATTAGGGAAATGCAAATCAAAACTACAATGAGATACTATATCATATCAGTGAGAATGGCTATTACTAGAAGGCCAAAAAATAATAGATGCTAGTTAGACTGTGGAGAAGGGAACACTAATACACTGCTGGTAGGAATGTAAATTAGCCATTGTGGAAAGCAGTTTGGCGATTTCTCAAAGAACTGAAAGCAGACTACCATTTGGCATAGCGGTCTCTTTACTGAGTATATACCCAAAGGAATATAAATCATTTCTACCATGAAGACACATGTTTGTATATGTTCATTGTAGCACTATTCACAATAGCTAAGACATAGAATCAACCCAAATGTCCATCAACAGTAGACCGGATAAAGAAAATGTGATACAGATACACCATGGAATACTACATGTGCTTTTTCAGCAATATGGATGGAGCTGGAGGCCATTATCTTTAGCGAATAAAGGAGCAGAAAACCAAATACTGCTGTTCTCACTTACAAGTGGGAGCTAAACAGTAAGTACACATGAACACAAAGAAGGGAATAACAGCTACCAGAGCCTTCTTGAGGATGGAGGTTAGCAGGAGGGTGAGGATGGAACTACCTTTTGGGTACTATGCTTATTACTTGGGTGATGAAATAATCTGTACACCAAACCCCAGTGACAAACAGTTTACCTGTATGACAAACCTGTACATGTACACCTGAACCTAAAGTCAAAAAATAAAAATAGGCCAGGCACGGTGGCTCACTGTAATCCCAGCACTTAGGGAGGCCGAGGCAAGCAACAAGGTCAGGAGTTTGAGACTAACCTGACCAACATGGTGAAACCCATCTCTACTGAAAAATACAAAAATTAGCTGGGTGTGGTAGCAGGTGCCTGTAATCCCAGCTACTCCGGAGGCTGAGCCAGAAGAATCACTTGAACCTGGGAGGCGAAGGTTGCAGTGAGCTGAGATTGCACCATTGCTCTCCAGCCTGAGCTACAGAGCAAAACTCCGTTTCGGGAGGAGGGGGAAATTAGCTGTGGGGAGGCAAGGGGAAGAAGCAGTCTAGCTCACAGAAAGTTATCTACCCTCATACTCAACAAAGCAAAGTTAACGTTAACTCACTCCTCCCTCAGTATCAGTCTCACAGAGGAGTCTCTGTTACAGAATTATTATGAAAATACTCAATTTCAAAGTGGGTAAGTAAAAACCCACATATCACAAGTGTATTCACAAATGAACAGGACATTCATTAAAACCCCAATCACATCCAGGTTTTTGTCCCTCTCTGACTAATCATTCAGGGTGCAAAAATACAATACAAATTAATTGCAATGTTAATCCTTGAATCATCACACAAGTAGCAGGTTTTCAAAAAGTCATCAAGGTGATGTTAGAGAACTGGGAAATCACAGGCAACTCAACTAACACAAATAATTAACAACTGAAGAAGAGAAAATTGACAGGAATAATGACACACACATAGGTACTTTAAGAGAATCATGTGAATAAATATAAAAAGTGCTAATGGGAACTGAGGGAGTCTTCAAATGTTTTTCTGCAAAGATGATTATCCTTTTGACTGCTACTACAAAAGTTAACTGTGAAGTAAGGAACAGAGTAATACAATTCTATCCGAATAAAATGTCCCCTCAAAAAAGCAAACACTGGTTACTTTCATGATCATGGTTATAAAAAATAATTGGTTAAATATAAGAAAAAAACAGATGGTGTCTAATACTACAGTTTTCCCCCAAGACAAAGTTCCAATCAAAGCTTTTATTCACTACTGACTATGAAATTAGTTTTGTCTGCAACTTAAGTAAATTCACTTTTAGTAGCCTTTTCTAGTACAAATTATCCTCAAAACTACCATTAGTACCATGTAAATGGTTCAATTACTTTGAGTATCTCATTGCATTATTGACACATCTCTATTTTCTGTTTTCCTAAGTAGCAGCTTCTTTGGGCTACAAGCAGACTTACTCATCTTTGTATCTCCAGAACTTAGAACAATGTACAGCACACAGAAGTACAGAATACATTTTTCATGAAGTGATTTCCATGTTCTAAAATATCTAAGCAATTATTAAATTATGTTAAAATTCATAGTTTTATTAAATTTCTCCAAATGTACTTTCTGTTCAACTATATAACAGCCTCCCAGATACAGTACTGCCTTTAAAGAGCCTCAACTCAAGTAAAAGAAATAAAGTACATGTAGTAAAGCGCAAAGCATAGCCTTGTATGTATCAGAGGACTGCAGATGAAATCCACAGGAAATCCATAGGAAAAGAGACTACTTCCAGCTAAAAGAATCAGAGCAAGATTTGTGGAGAAGGTTGTGTCTGAGTATTAATTTGCAGAAAGGGTTAGATTGGATGTGTGGAAATGGGAGAGTAAGGAGAAAATTAAAGGCAGCAAAGTACAAGGCACATAAAAGAAAAAAAAAAACTGTTCAGCTACATGAAATGAGTTTAAGTAAAGGAGAGTGTGCTCAACAAGATTTTTATAGTTGGGTATAATATAAAAATATTAGAGGGGCTCAAACACCAGGTTGTAAAATATGTACAGTTGTTTTTACAAGTATAAACCCCCTAAATATTTTTTGAAAAGAGAAATAACATGATCATAACTGTAACTAGGGAATTTACCAGCAATAAACAAGACTCAAAGTAGTTTTGGTGAGAGCTAATGATGGTTACAGCAATAAGAATGGTCAAGAATATATGAACAAAAATGATATAATAGATATCAAAGAATATAATTATCTGTACTTTGCAACAAGGTGCAAGGACAAGCCAAAAGTCAAATATAAACTGTTTTTAGGTATAAGAAATGCCATTTGAATTTACTTAACACTTATATAAGCTCTACATGTCAAGAAAGAATAGGCCTGGGAAACATTATAAATCTCTGTATTATATTCACAGAACATAAAAGTGTAAAGTTTCTGTTTAGCATTTGAAGTGGGACCAGAGTCTTGAAAAAAAACTTAATGTTGCTGATGTAATAGTCACTTACAGAGATGATGAAACAGCCAAAGAAGACTGTGTAAGTGAAGAAGTTGATCCTAGACAGATCCTCATAAAACACATACATTTGAAGAAAAAGAGGAAGAGTAGAAAATATAATCAGAGAAGTAAAGCAATAATCAAGAGACAGAAACCAAATAAGACAGTTTTAAGAATAAAGGAGCAATGAGCTGAGTTAAATAATATAAAAAGGATAAGGAAGACCGGTATCATTGGACTTGAGGAGTTCAACAGGACATTTTTGGAAAACAACGAAGGCAAATGACAAACTATGAGTAGAGAAGAGAGGATAAGAGAGTAAAAGAGACAAAGACACAGATTATTCTTTCTTGCGGCTTGGAGGTTTGAAAAGAGGAGATGGGCATGTAATTTAAAGGAAGAACAGAATGAGAGAAAAGCTTTGTTTAAAACAGGGTAATTTGATTTGTTTATAAGTTGTGAGAAGATGCTAATTATTGATTTTTAACCACTGACAAATGTTCCATAGTCAACAGAATTCCAAGGCAACCTTAAAGTTTAGGCCATTTGAACTTTCACCTTGGGAATTTGGTGCTTGAGGTGGCAATGTTTAACAGATATTGTGCTAGAAAAGGAAGTCCGTAAAAGTCAATAACTGTGGATGCTTTTAACTCATAGTGGACATCTACCTAATGGCTGACACATACTTCTTATACACTGTAAGTTTCAAATAAAGTCTATTTCTTATATTTCCATACTTTGTGCTTTTTAAACATCTCCACTTCAATAATGATAACAGCAAATGCTCTAAGAAATATCATATCAAGAACCTGATAAACAGACTGCAAGTCTTAACAATTTAATAAAATAATTACATATGTTGCTTTCTGCTAAGAAATATAATAAATACTTTTTAAACAATTTTCAGTTTCTTATAAAATAAGATTATCTCCAAAAGTAAGTGGGGAAACTAAACCAAGGAAATTATGGCCTCCCCAAAACATCATTTCTCAAATGGTTTTGTCTGAACAATAAAACTAAAATCATAAACAGAATCTGAAACAGCTATTTTTCAAAGACTGAAGTACCAGTCTTGACAAAATCATTTGACAAAAATGATCACTATTTAAAAATAGATAACTGTGTCTAGAGAGTTATATGTAAGTGGCAATTTTAAAATACATACTAAAGGGTGGGGAGGAATAATTACAATGATCCCTGAAATAGATTCTTAAGACTTCTTGGGGAAAAAAAAACAGAAAAACTACATGTAAAATAATCAAATTATTAATGAAAAACTCATATTGAGATTATCTTATTTACTAATGTGAAAGTCCTTTTTACTTTTCTCAATGATGCTAAAGACTTCTAAAGTTGTACAATCCAAATATAACGGTACTCTAATAAGAAGCCTATAAAACTGGAATAGGAATCTGAAAGTTTCACTGCTCATAATCTGAAAACTTAATTCACTGAGTAATAAGGAATGCTTCTAACATGAAATTAGTTCTGTATCAAGTCTTTATAAAACTATAAATTTCTATACTGTTATTTTCCTTTCAGGAACTGAATATATACAACCAGTCTTCATTATTTGTGGACTCATATTTAGGAATTTGCATACTCATTAAAATTTATTTGTAACACCAAAATTCATACTTGAAGCAATTTCTTGGTCATTTGCAAAGTAAATGCACAAAGCAGCAAAAAATGTGAATAGCCAGATGTGCACATTACAGCTAATGTCAAAGAAGGCAACACCATGCCTTCTTGTTTTAGCTTTCATACTGTAAACAGTGTCCTTTTTGAGGTCTATTTAGTGCCACATTTTTCACAGTTTTGTGGTTGATGTTTTTGTTATTTCATGATGAAGTATTGTCTGGTGCTCCAAAGCACAAGCATAGTGATGAACTGCTCTCTGGTGTTCCAAAGCACAAAAAGGGTATGATATTCCTTACAGAGAAAATGTGTGTGCTAGATAAGCTTTGTTCAGTAATTTGTAATTCACTGCATGAATTACAGTGCTATTGGCTGTGAGTTCAGTGTTAATGAAACAACTATATATTATAAATAGGTTGTCTTTAAACAGAAGCATACATAAAACAAGGTTGTATATTAACTGGATGATGAAAATGTGGCCAGGGGCTTGAAGGAACCTATCCTTGTAGTTCTCCTAAGAGCAATTGTTCAGGATCTGCTAACTGAATGCCTGTGATAACATTATAGAACAAAACTATTGCAAATAACAAGTGTCAACTGAACCATGTTACCAAGCCAAAACTTAATGACAGTTTCAGAACTCTGAAATATTTCTCATGCATAAATTTTTCAAAAACAAACAAACCATAAACATTCAAAATTTTAATCTCTGTATCACAGTGGATTTTTTCCTTCCTAAAAGTCAAAGGCCTTCTATAGCGGTTGTACACAGCCATTTTCCTTACATTGATAGCTAACGCGCATAGCTGATATTGTTCTAATGTGATGATTTCATGGTAACAGGGTTCTTGTGCCAGCTTCACAATAGCACTCCCAGCAGCAAGTCTCAGACGTGACATATCTGGTTTACTGAAAAATGAGCAAGAATGAATATAGATTAGAATTTAAAATGTTTGTACAAAATCTTCTGCACATCTAATTTTATTAAAAATTCTGGCAAAAAAAAAAAAAAGTAAAAAATGTTGCGATCTGAATGTTTGTGTCCCCCAAAATTCCTATGTTGAAATGCAAGTACCTAGAAGATAGTATTAGGAGATTGGGCCTTTGGGGAGGGAATTAGGTCACAGTGGGGAACCCTCATGAATGTGATTAGTGCCTTATAAAGGTGGCTGGCCTGAGCAGGCTCATTTACTACTTCTGCCATTTGAGGACACAGCAAGTAGTCAGCAGTCTGCAACCCTGAAGAGGGCCCTCACCAGAACCCAACCATGCTGGCACCCTGATCTTGGATTTCCCAGCCTCCAGAACTGTGAGATATAAATTTCTGTTGTTTATAAGCTACTTAGCCCATAATATTTTATTGCAGTAGTCTGAGCAGACTAAGATAATAATTTAGTGGTACTGAACACCATATTATGCTCATTTAACTTTGGAAGATGTTGTCTAATACTACAAAATTCTTCTTTTAAACATAAGTCAATGCTAGCGTCACTCAAGTCATTTAATTCCCTCATTCTAAATAAAACAGGTCTTAATCAAGCATAGAAGAAATCTGTATGTTTAGTTGTTAGGTTTTATGTATTCTACCATGGATTTTGTTGGAGATATGTTTATGTATACATGAGGCACCAAATATGTTCTAGCTTGCTAATAAATCAACCACAACTACTGTGCTAAGCACAAAAGAAGTAGAATGAAAGCAGGTATGGTAAGGAAAACATTACTACTCTTAGCTATAATTCAACTTTTCAAATATTACCAAGAGGATTTAAGTTCGAGGAAAGACAACTGCTAAAATGAAGCACAATTCATAGAATTCTAGACTAGTAAATACATCTAAACACTACTTCCTAATATAGTAATATATTAGCTGAAATGCAGGCGGATCTTGAACAAATATAAGAAAGGAAAAGTTCTAACTCCTTAAATAGAACCCCCTTTGTAGCTCTATAGTAAAAGATTGTTATTCAACATCCATGCAACAAATCTATGTCTATTGTGTATATATAGCACTGCAGGGTATTTAAAATAAAAGACACAGTCTTAGTTTTCCAAGACTTAATAATTAAGTTGGCCATGTAAAAATAATCACTGAATGCTAGCCAACATTAGTAAGGTTCTAAAGTTGTAGGACCTTGTCTCAGAGGTGTGTCTCATCTCACCAACAATATTCCAAGTAGCTACTAATAGGTAAATTATAGTTCTTAATGCAAAGAGTACAAACCACCTGCTGGATGTTCTCCTCATAGATTATGGATAACAGATGCTTCCTGTGTATTCATCCTTAAAATTTCCTGTCTAGACGAGAAGTTTCTATTTGACCTAGTAAACATTTTTGTTGTTTTTGTTTTTAGCTTTATTAAGCAGAGGAAACTTTTCTTCAAATCAAGTCTTACACAAAAATTTAAGGTGTAAACACAAAAAATCACTTTTGCTTAAATAATGCAAGCTTCCTATTTAAGGAAAGGACAGAGACCCCCACCTACCAACTCCCAAGACTCTCTCTGTTCTGTTTCTACCAGAAATAATTCTTATTCCAACTCTAGGCAGCCCCTAAATATTCCTGAATGTCATTGGGTTCCACAAAACACAGCTTAAGTGACATTATATACTGGGTATCATTCCAATTACATTACATATTTTAATACATATAATCCTTACATAATCTCTATAAGAAGATATTATTATCCTCATTTTACAGATGAAGAATCTAAGATATACAGAAGTTAAATAACTTGCTGAAAAATAAAAGCAGCTGATAAATGGTGAAACCTAAATTTGAACTTGTGCAGTGTGTCTTCAATCTGCCTCCTTGTCCTAAACCACCAAAGTATTTTGCCTCTCTGATAAAAGTTTATATCGCTGAATATAACTGGGCAAATAAGAAGTATAAAATAATGTAATTAATAAATTGATTTATAAGACAAAACGTATTAACACTGAGGAAAATTTCTTTACGAGGCTGAGCTGATCAATACAAAAGTATTTCAAACGCAGTAAAAATTCTAAATCAAAACATACTTATTATTTGTAGCTCCTAAAAATTGGCATATATAAATTATGGGAGAGATGAAAACAATTTATTAGAATTAAAGTAGACAGATCAGTTGTATATACAGAATGAATACCAAGTTTTTTTTTTAATATGTTTGGTTTAAGAAAGATGTGTTTCTGTTAATATTCTATGAAAAGAATATAGTATAAGCAAAATATACAAGATGGAAAGGCAGACGGTAGCAGGTAGTCATCTTTTTATGTTTTCTTATCAAAGTCTTTAGATATACTAAGGAGGTATAGAGCTGTTCTCCTATTTTGTATTACCAAGAAGGGGCGCTAAATGGCACTTGGTTTACATAGAGGAAAAACCTCTAAATTTTAATTAACAATGACATAATAACCACTATTAACATCAATGCTTAACCTCTAAATTTTAACTAACACTGACATAATAACCACTATTATCATCAATGCTTCTAATTATTATGTGCTAAATAGTGTTTTTAAAACCTTCGATATCCTAACTTACCTAGTTATGTCATAATAGCTAGATGAGCTGGGTACACATAATTATTACCTCTACTTTAAGGAAAGTGAGGGACCAAGAAGTTAAAACAACTTTCTGAAGTTCACCTGACTAGTAAGTGGTGGAGCCAGAATTTGAATCCAGGCACCAGAGTCCAGTAGTTTTCAATCACTGCACTATACTACATCTTTCAAAGAAAATAAAACAAAATAAAATAACAAAAACCAAAAAAGTGTGTTCGTTTTCAATAATTTACTTCAAGTAAATTTTTAAAGTATGCATTTATTATAGTTCTGGAAATAGATTCAATAAGTTGCCTTCCACGCAGTCTGTTTTTCCCCTTAGATGTTTAACAAGAATGTGAAACACCAGTTACTGACTGGTACACTCACACTTTCATATGAAATATTCTAAAATATAAGACTCTATTATTTAAAATATTTACAATGTATAATAGTATCCTGCACCAGACATGTGACTGCCATTGTAAAATAACCACTGTACAAAAGCACACTACAGTTAAAATATATGCACATGTACAAATACTATTTTTTAAAAAAAGAAAAGCACCATTCAACAGTTACACCAAGAGTTGAAATATTGTGCAATCCGAAGAACTGTGAAATAGTAATTGCATACCTAATTTTCCCCTGTTCTGTCAAGTCTCCATCACTATGCAATATTGTTGTTAGCAATCTTAAGGTAGAAGTTCCTGATTTACTGTGATTATTTTTCATTCCAAGTAGCCATCGAACCATCATTTTAATAGCCTGAATCTATTTAAGAGACAAGTTGAGAGATAAAACATTGGTACATTTTGAAAGAATTTCTGTATCAACTTTTTTGAAAAATAAAATGTATTTAATGGATGCTTTTTAAGAAAAGAAAAAAATTCTTTTCTTATATATGAAGATAATCTTGAACATTTTGAAGATGCTTCAAATCTCCAAGAAAGTGGCAAAAGAATGATTTGACTAAAGACTAGTTTGTTCTTTGCTGCTGTTTTAAAATGTTTCCCCAACATGCATTTGATCCTTTAGAACGTACAGTAAAATTATGCTTAACCTCTCTAATCAGAAAAGTTAAGTTCCCAACTACAAATTACATTTATTCTTTTCTGCCTAAAAAATTATACCACTCATATTTATGCTACATTTTATAATTATGAAGTATTTAAAGTATTTTTACACACATTACTTCCTTTAATGTTTCCAATAATTCTTTTGAGGAAGTATATATTACCTCTTTTTAAAATGATGTACAAATTATCTGTTTTTCACATCTTATCTCAGCTTTTTACAGAGATAAGGCTCAGGTGCAAAGAGTGTCTTCGATAATGTCTGGCTCACAGCAGACACTCTGAAGATCTCTTTCCTGGCCAGTTGGTAAGTATGACTTACCTACCAACTGGTAAGTTGGTAACTGGCAAGTTGTTAAGTGCCCTACCTTCTAGTCCAGTGCTGCTCTCAAGTATACAAAAACTGCAGCTTGAGACTAATGCTGAGAAAAACAGGTTTATACTGAGACTCAAAGTATCAAGCATCATTCACTGATGTAAAGGTGGGGCTACTAATATAAGTCTGCAAAACTAGTATCATAACCTCAGCTAAAATAATGTGAAAAGATAGTTCTTAATACGAACTATAAACACACACACACACACACAGAGAGAGAGAGAGAGAGAGAGAGAGAGAGAGAAAGAGAGAGAGAGAGAGAAAGGGTTTATAAGAAATTACAGCTAGAAAATAACAATATTTAATATACTTATTCCTGGCTTTCGTATCTTGGTAGTGGACTGAGATGAGGTCCACTACAGACCAGAGATGGTTTTAATAAATCAAGTGTCTATACCCATGATGAGCAATCTTATAAAACTCCTAATTCAATAAATTATAGGTTGAATTTTTTAAAGATAAAAAGTTTTATTAAATCTCATGGAAAAGATGAACAGGCTTAAAATTCTGGATTCTCATCTTTAAGGAACAGAGGAAAGTCCATAAACTAGCATTGCCTTTTGCCATCAGGGAAGCAGCTTTTAAATCTTTTTTTCCCCTCAAATTACATTATGTGCAGCTGTCCACAAACCCTAGCTTTCTCATTATTATCCTATAGAGTCACAGCACATGATAATGCCATACAATAAATATAAATACACTTGACTGATTTTAACATATTTTCAATAGAAATAGAAACTTTAATATCTCAAATATTATAATATGGAAAGTATATTAAAATCAATAGATCTATGCATATTACTCACTTTGACCATTGTCTCAGGTGACACTTCTTCATCTGGAACCCAAAGTTTAGTTGTCTTTTTTCCTGGAAGCTAAAAAAAAAAATCAAGGTTTTTAAAACATAAATATAAATTCTCCTTTTCAATCAGCACTTAGAAAATGAATGAAATCCCTATCTTCTGCAATGACATTTGTTATATATGACTAAAGTACCTCATCTAACCCTATTTACCTTTTTAAAAAAGGTTGAAAGGCATACCTTCACTAGCACCTATGTACAGCACTTATAGACCATCTCGACTGGTTCTTTCTAGGTGTGTGTAGGACTAACTCTAACTTCTTACACATCACTCCCTTACTTAGCCCCTTTTGAGATTCAATTATTTAATACAGGTGGCAAAAACTAGGATTTAAAAAAAAAATCCATGGAGCCAAAAGGTATACATCTTAAACAAGAGGAAAGGTACTTAAAAAAAAATCTTGAGCTGGAGGGTTTTTGTTTTTGTTTCAGTACAACCCCAAACTAATTGGAGGTAATTGGAGTTGGATGTTTATAGTGGTAGCCAGGAAATTAAAATAAGTTGGCAAAAGAGCTGAACCCAATCTTGGAACACTTGAGATCCCATTTTTACCCTCAGGTCAAAGAACAGAAATTGAGTATCACCTCAGGTAATCCTCTGGCAACAAAACTGGTAGCCCCAACATCTAAAAGGGCAAACTCCCTCAAACACAAAGAGCTACAGATTCACACATAGTTTAAGACTCATTTCTTCAGTTGAGAAGTGCCTTCAAAGTATGAAATATAAATAATAAAAAAGGAATCACATTAGGCACCTTGCAATGAAATTTCTAAGGATGTCAAGATCCTAAAAGCTTCCACAGAGAAGCTACCAAAAAGGAATAAGAGTCAGATTAACTTCAGATTTCTCAGCTGCAAGACCAGATGCCAAAAGCAATGCTCTGAATTTTCAAGTGACTTGAAACACAGAATTCTAATATCCAAGAAACAATATTGAAGAATGAAGACTAGAATTTCAAGACAGAAAGTTTCCAAATTACAATCCATGCTGAAAGAATTACTCAAAGATACACTAAAATACTTAATTCACAAGAAAAAACTAAGGTAGTATAAGCTATTACAAAGAAAAATGAAAACAAAAACCTTTCATAAATAAGAAACTATTAGATACTACCAGAAACAACAGAGACAATCAGATAGATTTATAAATAATAAAATTACAAAAGATATAACAAAAACAAATTACATGAAATCTCAAAATTATGGGATGGAAAAATATACCAGTCAAGATAAAAAGCATTAAAGAGGATATGGACTTAAATGGGATACTGATATACTTTATCTTATAACACCAAATAAAATACAAATTCATGAACATTTATACAACTAGCAGAAAAACATCAAAATAAACCAGAATAAAGATGATTAAAAGGAGAAGACTGGAAATTTCATCATAGCAAAAGATGTGAATATATCTCTTTCAAAAACTGATAAGTTCAGATGAAAAAGGATAAATATCTAAAATGTTAGTAAATATACAGAAATAAAATACACAAGGATTAGAAAATAAAGCTATCATTCTTTATAATTGATATAATGAAAAACAGAATTTAGCAAGAAAGATGGATATAAATCGGAACTACCAAATAATTCGCCTCATCAAGCATAAACATAAAACATAATCTTAAAAACTTTAGTGCCTAAACTAAGGGTGTGAGAGAAATTTAGAATTTTCCCTTTTACAGAAAACTATAAAACTTTAAGGAAAGACATCTTGTGGATGGGCAAAGGAACTACTGAAAAAGAATAGAGGCTCTATAGGAGACATGAGTGGTAGAACTGCAGATAACTAAGAGATGGTAAGATGTTTAATAAACAGTACTGGGAAATTTGGTAACCCTAACTTGGAGCAAAAAGAAACAAACTCCTTATATCATAGCATATAAAAAACAAATCAATTCCAGAGGGATTGATTTTTAAAAGAACATATGGGAGGCTATTTTTATGACATTAGAATTGGAAAAGGTTTCTTAAGTAAGATGTAAAAAGTATTATCTACAAGAGAAGAGTGATAAATACAGCTACCTTAAAAATAATAAATTTGTTCAGGCTAGGTGCAGTGGTTCACGCCTGTAATTCCAGCACTTTGGGAGGCTTAGGTGGGTGGATCATGTGAGTTCAGAAGTTAGAGAGGAGCCTGGCCAACATGGTAAAATCCCATCTCTACTAAAAATACAAAAATTAGGCAGGCATGGTGGCAGGCACCTGTAGTCCCAGCTAGTCGGGAGGCTGAGGCAGAAGAATCACTTGAACGTGGAAAGTGGAGGTTACAGTGTGCTGAGATTACACCACTGCACTCCAGCGTGGGTGATAGAGTGAGACTCCATCTCAAAAAGAAAAAAAAAGGAGTAACATTTGTTCAAAGGATCAAAGGACACAATAAAGGAGTGAAAAGACACACGTAAAAGGTTTTACACATTTTATGATGATACTGCAACATTTACTGGATAAAAGATTAATGTAGGTAAAGATTACCTATGGGGGAGAAAACACCTAGGGAATAAAAGGCAAAATACACCAAAAGGCATTTCAGAAAGTAGGCAGCATGAATGGTGATGAGATATACAAACTTAACTAGTAACCACAGAAATGCAAATTAAGACTATAATGAGCTATAGTGAGATACTATGTCTATCAGATTGGCAAAAACTAAGAAATCTGACAATAATGTTATACACTGTTAGTAGGAAAATAAGTTTTAACAAATATTATAAAAAATGGTTTTTAAAAGGGAAAAGTTAAGTATGTCTATACACTGTGATTCATCAACTTCACTCATAGGAATAAAACCTAGAGAAATTCTTGCTCCTATGTAGCAGGGGGCTTCAATAGAAACATTCATAGCAGCACTGTCCAAAAGAGTAAAGAAATTGAAATATTCCATAATCTGGTAGGAGAATAAACAAATTATGAGATATTTTCCACAGTCAAATTATATAGTAACAAATGAATGAATCATAATTAGATTTATTAACAAAGATTCTTAGAAATAAATATGGAGTGATAAAAGCAAATCATCCAATACTATACAGGATGTGATATAACTCTAATAAACCTCAACAACAAGCAAAACTAAACAAGTATGTGGTAAATTTTGTTGTTGTTAGAGAAGAAGTCAAGATTCAAGAGAGTAGATACTAAGGATGGGAAGGAAACAGAAAGGATTGAAGAGTAATAAAAGTCCAAGAACTCTAAGGAACTGAGTTCATGGGTGTTCACTGCATTATGAAACAGGTATACAAATGTTATATATATTTGTACATATCAAATACATAATAAAACAAGACAAATTAATGGATTAAAAATGGTGAGGAGTTCTATTTCTGGGAAGATGTAACTAGGTTGTTTTGAACCAATTTTCATACTGAAACAAACGAAAAGTCTAGACAAAATATTTTTTTTAAATAGTCTGAAGGGAACAGACAGCTACCAAAGCAGTGAGAATTTGAAGGACAAAGTTTCAAATGTGGAGAGAAAGCAAAAGATTTGAGTGTGGCATTGAGATTAGTTTTTTCACATAGACGATTAATGATTCTAAAAGTGAAGAAAAGAGGATAAGTTGGACAAAGCTTTCCTGTCACAGAGCTAGAAGAACAAGATTAAGAATCCTGGGCCCATTAAGGAGTAAAGGCCTTGTTAAACAACCTAGACTTCTGGGTGGATCCCAGACAAATATACTCTAGACATAAGGTGACTAGAAAAAAAATAAACTTGTCAAAAACTGAAGCCAAGTTTTCACTGGATGGAGGTGATCTGACGACAGTTTAACTGCCTGACAGAAACAAAAGTAAAACTCTGGAAGAATATAAACTCATCTGAAGCCTCAAATTACCTCAACAACTTTTCACACACAAAGTCTATCACTCGATCAAAAGCAACATATGAACAAGATAAAACTTCACCAAAAATTTAGAGAAAAAAATAGACAAGAGAAAAAGTTACAAGAGACCCAGATGATGAGCCTAACACATATAAACTTAAACATAATTAAGATTTTTCAAGATTTAATGACAAGCAAATTCTGCAGCAGAACAAAGAGCTATGTTTAAAAACTATAGAATTACAGAATTGGGCCGTGCATGGTGGCTCATGCCTGTAATCCCAGCACTTGGGGAGGCCAAGGTGGGCAGATCACCTGAGGTCAAGAGTTCTAGACCAGCCTCGCCAACACAGCAAAACCTCGTCTCTACTAAAGACACATTAAAAAATTAGCCGGGCATAGTGGCGGTCGCCTGTAATCCCAGTTACTTGGGAGGCTGAGGCAAGAGAATCACTTGAACCCCGGAGTCAGAGGTTGCAGTGAGCCGAGATCATGCCATTGAATTCCAGCCTGGACGACAGAGTGGGACTCTATCTCAAAAAATAAAAAAAATTACAGAATTGAAGTATGTGTACATATATGTGAAATTAAGAATTCAATGCATGAGCTTTACATAAGATTAGACAAAACTGAAGAGAGTGAACTCAAAGATAAGTCAGAAAAAAAAAAACAAAAACTGAAGCACGGGGAGGCTGGCAGAAAAATACAGAAAAAGTGTGCCAGACAGCTAGGTCATAAAAAAAAAATCTGTGTTTACAGAACTGCTGTAAGAGAGGAAAGAGAATATGAAATAGAAATCATATATGTAAAGATGAAGCCTGAAAATTATTTAATATTTGTAAAAGACTATACATATAAGAAGAGCTACAAGTTCCAAGTACAGTAACTATAAAGGAAAGAATACCCAGAAACACTAAAGTAAAACTGGAAACCAATGGAAAATAGAAAAGACAAAAAGCATTCACAGCAAAAAGACAGAAGACCTTCAGAGGAACAAAACTGTCAGTAAACTTCAAGAAAAAAAATTGGAAAATAGAGTAATATATTCAAATCATTGATGGAGGAAAATAAACCAGTCTAGAATTCTAAACCCAAAGAAAGTATCCTTTAAAAAACTGAGGTAAAATAAAGATCATTCCAGACAAACAAAAACTGAGAAAATTCATCAGTGGAAATCCAAAATAAAAAAAAGTACTAAAGTAGTTCTTTAGATAGAAAGAAAATCATTACATAGAAAGGAATGAAAAACAAAAGGAGAAAATATGTTGGCAAATCTAAATAAATATTAATTGTATAAAATAACAGCAGCAATAGTATTGTGTGACCAAGAGCACAAAAAAGCACCAGGGAATAAAGGGGATTTAAGTATTTTAAGGTTCCTTGAACTGTACTCATGAGTAAAGTTCAAAGCAGATCAGTTGACACTGGCTTTTAATAAGTCAAAAACGCATGTTGTAATTTCTAGGAACACTATTAAAGGAATAGTAAAATATAAAACAGGCCAGTAAGAAAAATGAAATAAAAATATTTAATGAAAAATAAGAAAAGAGAAAAATGAACAAAACTGACAGAACAAATTGAAAATAAAAAATCAGGTGGCAGAATATCCCTACTTACATTATGTTTACTTTTTAGAGGAGAAACTGTATCTCATGTTTCTTTTAATTCTCCAGGAAACCTAGTACTGTGCTGAGGTCACAGCAGATACAAACTAACTGGAGACTTAACAAAATCATTATTTCCTCTCCCAATGTTTTCTCATTCTTTTCAAATGTAGGAAAAAGAACTTTACATAGAAAAAAGAACAACTACAATCATGACAACTATACTGTGAACTGGTTTGCCATTTCTGCCTATTTTTTAAAATAGATGTCATGTCAAAAATTAAACCTCTTTAAATCCAAAACAGATAGCATCAGGTTATAGTTTATATTTATCAAGGAATGTATTAGAGGTCATATGCCTATTCTCAACTAAAAAGATGTTTCAATATAGTTTGGCTTATAATGGAGACAAGGCTTATTTTTTTTACAATAGGAAAACCTAAAATAAAGGCAGTCAAAAGGAAGTATTATTGACATCATTTCACTTCTTTCCTTGTTGGGCAAAATTCTAAAAGTTAAAATTACAAAGAACACGAATCTAAAAAGTATGAATTACCCGATCATTCATGAGAAGATCTTTCACAATGAAAGTAGCTACCAAAGATTTCAAAGGAGCAGCAAATTGATCAGGTGCAAGGAGAGCAATATGACCAATAGTAACCAATGGTGTTATGAGATGTTCCAGGTTGCTTGGATCTAGGCTCTTATGCAGAGGCTGAAAATGAGGGAAGAAAAATATATCAGCTCTATACATACGTAAATAATGTTTACATATTTCATTTTTAAATTACAAAAATTTCAACAAATATATACAGTATAAGCAGTAACTCAAGATTTTTACATTATCTATGTCCAAAAGGCATCAGGTTCAAACATTTTCAGTTTTGCCCAATTCACAGTTTAGAGGTAGGGTAAAGAAACATTTCAGCATGGACAATCATTATGAAGCATATGGTTTATGACCATATATATGAATATGTTAGAGACTGCTAGGGCTCACCAATATCCACTTCTCTTCTATTTCCTGGGGATAAGGTGACTCCACTTGCAGTTTCCTGTGCAGTTAGGTGAGGATATATTAATGAGTTCTGGTCAAGGGAGTGGGAGTAAAATGAAGTATGTCACATATGCACTGAGGTAGGTATGAGCAATGTGTCTTCTCCACAGGCTCTACTCACTGGCTGGCTTAATGCCAAGGATCCCGTGGGATTTAGAGAGAAGTCACTAATCAGAATGAGTCTGTGACCCTAAGTCACTGATTAGAGGGTCATTCAAATACCAACTGGACTTTTCAGAAGCAAGAAGTAAGCTTTTACTATGTCTAGTCACTTGAATTTGGAGAATCTTCATTATAGCATCAAATATTAAATAACTTAACAAATAAGATGATTTTTATTATTCTGATAGGAAACCCAACCATTAATATGCATTTTGCCATGACAAATAAAGAAACTCTTCGTATACTCATCTAAAATGATATCAGAAATACATTGTTAAGGCTGGGCACGATGGTTCACACCTGTAATCCCAGCACTTTGGGAGGCCGAAGCAGGCGGATCACCTGAGGTCAGGAGTTCTAGAACAGCCAGGCCAACATGGTGAAACCCATCTCCACTAAAAATACAAAAATTAGTCAGGTGTGGTGGCATGCACCTGTAGTTCCAGCTACTCAGGAGCCTGAGGCAGGAGAATCACTTGAATCCGAAAGGTGGAGGTTGCAGTGAGCAGAGATCACGCCACTGCACTCCAGCCTGGATGACAAAGTGAGACTCCATCTCAAAAGAAACTAACTCTTTCTCTCTCTCTCTCTCTCTCTCTCTCTCTCTCTCTGTGTGTGTGTGTGTGTGTGTGTGTGTGTGTGTGTGTGTGTGTGTGTGTTTTAATTCTTGAAATTAGAAGGGTGACTAAAATAATTCATTGGCATAAGGGGATAAGGGGGAAACAAATTGTGTGTGTGTGTGTGTGTGTGTGTGTGTTGTGTGTGTGTGTGCGCGCGCGCATGCATGCATGCATGCGTATTTATATGCCCTTACCTGTATATGAATAACATATCTCTGGAAAAGTACATTTAGAAACTAATAACACTGGCTCGGCCTTTGGGAAAGAAAACTAAGTGGCTGGGGATACATCAGGGGGGCGAGGAACTTTTCACTGTATATTCTTTTTGGCATCCTTCTGATTTTGAAGCAAGTGAATATATTTTCTATTAGACATTTTGATGCCACATTTTAATGAAAAACTGGTGCTCTATTCTCCCACACTGAACACCAAGAATTGTAGGCTTGAAAGGCAAAGCAAAACTGTTCTTTCCCAACACATTAGGGCAATATGAAGCTTCATTTAGTCAAAAATATGTTTAAATGAGTTTACTTCTTGCTTTTCTTGATGACTTCCCTCAATACTTCCATTGCACATCTTGCCAGCTTATTATTCATATTATAAACAAAAATATCATAGTGTAGTTTGTTCACTTAGTATATCGTAAGTTTGATAATTTTACATAATAAAATCATTTCTAAAAAGTAAAATTAATTGCCAGACCCTAGATTAGTGGAACCTCAAAAAGGCCAGTTATCTCTATGAAACCACTTCTCAGAAAGCCAGCTAACCACATGCTATAGTAGGACTACAGAGGTTCTTGTAAAGATAAAACAGCAGGTACAATATCAAAATGAAAACAAAACAACTCTGAAATTCAACTTATATCATGGTTACTCTTATCATCACTGTAAGGAACAAAAAGAAGAGCAACCAAGAAAAAAAAACTTTCCTAGAAATTAACATCAATTTACTGAAGCCATTCTCATACACAAACACAGACTACAGAAAATACCACTGTCCTCAAATACACAAAAATTAAAATAATTATTTGCTATCTACAGAAAAGACGGTGTTTAGAAGATAAACTACTTTTCTTCCTTCAGGTCTTTAACATAATACATGAAAATATGACAAAAATACCATAAGAGTTTCTTAAAAAAGATATTAAGTATTTATGGCAAAGAGATTCAGAGTAATCTCTAAATTGTTTTGACTTTACTCAAGGCTCTTCAACTAAAATTACAAATTAGGATTTTATGAATTTTCTGCTTAGCTTTTATTTGCAATAACAGTATTAGCATTAGGTCCTAATTACAATAGACAGCAATAAAACTGCAATGCCTGGGTCAAGGTTATTTAAAATGTGGGAAAAAAAAACGCAAAAAATATATATTGAAAAGACACTTTATACCTGACACAAAATTAGGTCAGTCATAAAAGCATAAACTGTATATTGCCAATTAGTACTGATTTACAAAACCTTATACTTCAATAGTTTCTCAAACAGAATTCAAATTTTTTGATCCTGTAAATTGAGACAATAATCATCTATTACCTACTATCTGTAACTATGATTTTATACTTTACCTGTTAACAAAAAATAGTCTCCAAATCCAAATACATAAAGTAATGTACAAAAATACACAATGCTTGATTTCTGAATCTGAGTTATCATTAAACACCTGAATACTCAGATATTTTTATATTTTAACCCTTATCAATGCTGATTTTATTGATTCAAATTCTGAAAATATATTACAATATAATGCATCATCAAATGTGAACATTCCATAAACTCATCAATATTTGTTTTGTAACTACAACATATGGAACAAGAAAATTTTTTTCTCATTACCTCAAATATCTGTGCAAACTGGGTCTCTTTACTAGAAAATATCGCATGGATACAATGAATGGCATATTTGGCTTGACGGGGGGGTCCTTTTTTAGATTTGTGATGTAAAACAGGAAGCAAAGCTCTATAAAAAAAAAAAAAAAATCAAAGAAAAACAAAACAATAAACCAGAAAAATCAAGAAGACTTCTGATAGATATTTTAATATTTGTATTTTTAAGTAATGATTTACAAGAACAAAAAAAAGTCATCAAGATTTACTCAAATTCACTTTCAAAGGCCTGTGATTTTGCTTTATAAATATTTATATTAAAAATGTAATCCAAATACAAGTGTTATGTTTTTTACTTTTTAATCAGCAATAACAAACATTAACAAGGTTGGTGACCCACACTCTCCTGTTAATGTCACTCCCATTAGGCCTTTCTCTTTTATTCTTACTGCTATCATTCTGGCTAAGCTTCTGCCATCCTACACATGTATTAAAAACTGACACTGTTTCTTCTTTCTCAAGTCTCTGCCTCTTCCAATTCACCTTTCATTTTGTGCCAGAACAAGCCACATAAAGGAAAATCTGATTAAACAATGCTTATTAAGCAGTATTACATGCCAGGTACTATTAAAAGGCTCTAATACTTAACTTCATGCTACTAGCATTTTACAGTTAAGATAAATAATAACATATAAATTAACAAAATATATGTTACGTTAAATTGTGAGAACTGCTACAGAGAAAAATTTTTTAACAGGAGGAAGATAGAGATAGGAAACAGGAAGAAAAGTATAAGAGAATTACAATTTTAAACAGAAGATCTCCCTGATGAACATGTGAGCAGAGTTCTGAGGGAGGTACTGAGTATGTCATGTAGCCACCTGGAAAAACATTCATGCATCATATCATTTTATAACTCAAAAATTTTAAATGAATACTGAATAAAGGAGCTCTTAGTTCAACTATTATACAAACATCTCACAGCAAAAGCAACTTCCATATCTTCCTCATTGCCTGATACTAACCATCATTCTCAGCAAATTAACAGAGGAACAGTAAACCAAATACCACATGTTCTCACTTATAAGTGGGTGTTGAACAATGAGAACACATGGACACAGGGAAGGGAACATCACACAGCAGGGTCGGGGGATGGGAGACAAGGGGAGAGCATTAGGACAAATACCTAATGCATGTGGGCCTTAAAACCTAGATGATGGGTTGATGGGTGCAGCAAACCACCATGGCCATGTGGTATACATCGTATACCTATGTAACTATGGTATACATGGTATACCTATGTAACAAACATGCATATTCTGCACATGATCCCAGAATCTCAAGTTTTAAAAAAAAAAAAAAAAGACATACGAATTACCCTAAAATGTATGAAAAAATGTTTGCCTTCACTCATTGATGCTTCAGATTACAATGGTGTAAAAGACTATTTACTCTCCTACCTTAAACACCCAGAAGAGATAAATATGCTAAAAGTTTCAGACACTATGGCATGAGCAGCAGAGAAATGTTATCCCTAATAAATGAGAAACAAACTAGAAGAGCTTTACACCTGCCCAGCTTACTGCATGGAAATATTAAATAGTTTCCAGGCTGTAGTACAAGTGACCCAAATAGAGCCTGAGTTGAGGGAGATAAAGATGAGAGTTCAGGGAGGCCAAGGAAGCTCTGATTTCTAGAGCACAATACCAGAAAGGCAGGAGTTACAAAGAGAAAGACAGCATGAACTCTGCTAACCTGCAGAGGCTATCCCTGAGTCTTTGACTGGATAAATGATCCTCACTCGTGTTATGAGGCAAAAACTACCTGAGACCAGGAAAAAGACCATGGAAAGTAAGAGGACAAAAAAGTTCCCTCGACATACACAGGGCAGGTAATTACTCATTCCTACCAGTCATAATAGAAAGGCCTTATAATATACAACCAGGAGAAAAATTACTCAACAGAAATAGACCCAGAAATGACATAAGCGATGGAATTAGTGTAGACATTAAAACAGCTGTTACAAAGATGTTCAAAAAACACTATACTGCATAGGCTTAAGAAGGTAGAGTAAAATCAGGAATATAGTGCTAGAAATGAAAAATATTTTTAAGAAACACAAACAGAATTACTAAATATAAGAAATAAAATAGAAATAGAAAATGAACTGATGGGATTAAAAGCAGATTATACAATGTAAGAGAAAGGTATCAGTGACCTTGAAGACGTAGCAATAGAAACTATCAAACTAAAATGAGAAAAAGGGGCAAGAAAAAAATAACAACACGGCAGCTGTGCTATATAAGACAGTATCAAGTAGTCAAAAATATTTGTAATTGGAGCCCCAGAAAACAAGAAGGCAGATGGAGAGAACAGAAAAAAAGTACTCAAAATAATAATAGCCAATTTTATTCCAAATCTGATTAAAATAAACTTAGAGAACCAACAATCTCAATAAATATCAGGCAGAAAAAAGCTAAACCATTTCAAAGCATATTATTATTCATTTGGTAAAAATTAATGAAAAAAAATCTTAAAAACAGTGCAAAAATCATATATATAAACAATGATTGACAGAACACTTTTCATCAGAATCTAATGGAGTGATATCTTTTAAATACTAATGAAAATAGATGTCAATCTAGAATTCTATTCCAAGCAAAATTATCTTTTAAAAATATGGAGAAAATAAAAATTTTTTCCGGACAAAAAATTAACTATAAGCAGAATTCACTATAAAGAACTATACAGCAAGAAATATTAAAGAGAGTTCTTCCAGAAGAAAAATGATACCAGATGAAAATATGGAACAACATCCAACAAATGCAAAGTGACAGAAATGGTTATTATGTGTGTAAAAGAAATCTGTCGTTATTAATCTGAGATACACTAGAGTAAAAATCTCAAAAACATGGAGTTTATAACATATATAAAAACAAAATATAAGACAACAAAACATAAAAGACTAGAGGAAATAGGCATGGAAATATAGTGCTGTAAAGTTTTTACACATTAAGTAGTATAATTTTATTAGATGTAGATAAAACAATACTAAAGAGAAAAATCATAATACTTGATTAATCTCAAGGAAAGCAGACATAGAGTAAAAGAAGAACACAGAAAAGATGAAAACTATCAAGATGGTAGATTGAAACCCACCATATCAATAATTACAGTTAAGTGTAAATGCTCTAAGCATCCCATTGAAACAGCTTGTCAAACTGAATTAAAAACAACCAAAATAAAAGCAAACAAGGAAACAAACAAACAAAAAAAAAAAACAGACAACTAGGACATTTATTTTTTAAAAATTATAGGCAGTGGCTCAAGCCTGTAATCCCAGCACTTTGGGAGGAGGAGGCAGGCAGATCACATGAGGTCAGGAGTTTGAGACCAGCCTGGCCAACAACATGGTGAAAACCTGTCTCTACCAAAAATGCAAAAATTAGCTGGGCATGGTGGCAGGCGCCTGTAAACTCAGCTCCTCAGGAGGCTGAGACAGGAAAACGGCTTGAACTCAGAAGGCAGAGGTTGCAGTGGGCCAAGATCACACCATTGCACTCCAGCTTGGGAGACAAGAGTGACACTTTGTCAAAAAAAAAAAAAAAAAAATTAAATTAAATTAAATATATATGTCTTTTTAGGATCTTGCTCTGTTACCCAGGATGGAATGCAGTGGTATAATCATAGCTCACTGCAGCCTGAAACTCCTGGGCTAAAGTGATTCTCCTGCCTCAGATTCTCGAAGCACTGAGATTTACAAGTGTGACCCACCAAGGCCAGCCATTTTAAATACCAAGTCCCAGGAAGACTAAAAATGGAAAGGAAAAACATATGCCTTACAAACATTAGCACCAAAGAAAAGTACAAATGGCTACACAAAAGCCTGCAGAACAAGGAAGATGACAGTTAGAAAGAGATATATTTCATAACAACACTGTCTATTGGCAAGGCTGTGGGGTAGCAGACATTCTTATATTCTGCTAGTGAGAATCCAAAGTAGTATAACCGCTATGAATAGGGATGCAATAATACCTAGCAAAATTGTATATGCATTTACTCTTCTATTTCTAAGAACAGTTCCCAAAAGTAACTGTCAAAAAACACAAAAGGTGCAAATACAAAGCTATTCACTATAAGACTATAATACTAGAAACAACCCAAATGTCCGTAAATAATGAACTGATTAAATAAATTATGATACAACCACACAATAAATGGAGATCTCTTTGTATTTAAACACAAGATAATTGCCAGTACATGTCATTAAAGAGATAAAAGGTGGAGAAAAGTATATATAGCACATCTTATCGTTCATTTATCAGATGTGCATACATGTACATATGCAGACAAATATGTGTATGGAAGGGTACTTTTTTTAAAAGTTTATCTATGGGGAAGAAGGGAATAGGTTGGAGGGTTGTGGAACAGAAGCTGCAATTACTGAAATTTATATTGCTTCCTTTAGGTATTTTAAAAACCATTTAACATTTCATATAATTAAAAAACAAAATTAAATTTTAAAAGAGCAACCTCTCAAAAAGAATGAAACACATGAGGGAGGGTATGTATCCATGTGGTAGCATAACCACCCAAAGAAGTATTCCAAATAACTTTAAATGGGAATTTGACTGCAGATCTCTAATATGATACATGCTAAACAAAAAACAGAACTAGCTAAAAAAAGTAAACAAATTTCTACTTTTAGGAATCATATTGGTGGCACTATTGCTATTATGAGACTGCTATGGATGTATAACGGGATAAAGCAATTGAGTTATTTTGTAATATTTTAGTGTTATAATCCTGTGCCATGAGGGAAAAAAGAGATGCAAATGTAAAATTGAAGTTCAGTAAAAACCCTGTAATCCTGAATTTGAACTGGAAGAATCAGTATAAACAAATATAAATTTCACCTTTCAAAAAAAGCTATGTCTACTAAATTATCCTAGAACAACGACTTACACCATTAGCAGTTAGTACCCACAGGACTCATGTTGTGATTTATTAATACCATTCCCATTAAAAGGAACCAGAGCCCCTCAGAGAATTGGCCAATTCCAGGTCTGGGACAGAACAAGTACAAGATGGTCTTAGAATAGCTTGTCATACCAGATAGCAAAGAAATAACAC